AAAAAATGTTTTTTCGCACCTGGAGCTCCATCTTTGTCGAATCCCGAATGTCCATATGGTAAATGATCCTTTAGCACCTGCGGCTCATCCCAATCATCAAGACTATCAACCTCCCACTTCCTCCTCCACTCAAGGGACTGCAATAAAAAAGCCAACCATAAAGAAAAAAAATAATCAAAAATAATAATCACATGGAGTTTCATTGGAAACCTGCGATTATGTCGTTAGAGGCGTTAATTAACTGCAGCGAGTTGTTTTACAAGAAAAAAATTTAATTGTGAGCGAACTAGACTCATCGCGAGTGAAAGCAGTGGAAACTAGTGACTGATTCAGTTAAAAGACATAAAAACTCATAATTCCACATATTTTATAGCTCAATAATAATTCATCGCGCCTCTCACATCAGTGTTATCGCATTTCCTGTCATATCTTGCACATCCAAGATGAAATCCATCGCCATTGGAAAGCTGAGAAAATTTCCGTTTTCAAATGATATTTTAAATAACTAGTTTTCATTTTTGTCTCGTTGTTTTCGAATTAATAAAACCAGAATTCATCAACGGAAATTCCCTCGGCCTTAGATCGGCAGTCCAATTAATCCCCTATTATGGAAAGGTCCGCCATTTTGATTAGGGTATTGGGAAATTTCGATCCTTATCATGGCCGCAATTTTCTTCCACTACGAATTCATGAATTCATTGCGAAATACTTACATCACGCAGCATTTTCTCCGCTCCAACTGGGTCCCATTTTCTAGCTGGAATAAAAAACATTGACATTGTTATTACGATTGTTAATAAAAATTTGATGGACCGAGATGATAGATGAGATTTTTTGCTATAATCATTTTCACATTACCTCGGAGCCAGCGAAGAAGGAAATGATCGTCATGGTACGGTTGAAGAACATCTTGAACACTTCTTCTGAACTAAGTAAATAAAAAATTAGCATTACAAAACATTACATAAATATATATACACGGAGAATAAATTATAATAAAAATATTAAATTTTATTCATCCGTGATTATGGAGAGGGCAAACGATAATTAATGCAGATTGTTGTTTAATTGGTGTAATTGTAAATGTTTTTGCAAAAAGTTGACAGGTAGTTTTGGATTTATTATGCCATTTTTGGAGATGAAGCCGCTGGTATGAAGTTTCACAACGATCTAATTCTCCATCTTAGCGAGGAGAGAGAGGAAAGAGTAGTGAAAAATTGTTGTGAGTGTGGAGCGAGGCTGGATTCGTCACGATTCACGATTATTGCAACGTCGATATTTTTTTTTTTATTTTTCTTTCGTCTCAGACGAGAGGAGCCTGTTATTGCGATAACCCGGTGAGGGCTTCGCTCGGACGAGCTGTCATGCATCGGGGATACGTGTTATTTAATGAATGATCATGTGTTTTTCCATTTATCATCGGCTTCCAAGTGTTTTTCCTCACCCGAAAGATCTTTTGTACGGAAATTTTGTGGTTTGCGCTATTTCAGAAAAATCTCATGCAACGAAAAAAAAAAAA